TCAGAGTCCTGACCCCCTCCACCACCAGGCTGAAGACAAGAACCTATACCGTAAAGAATGAACACTCCGTTAGCGTGTGCATTGTTCATGGGTGAGGCAGAAAGTATCGCAGGGGGGGATTACCATCTCCACAGCCAGGCCCGCATCCTTCCAAACCACAACCTCCCCCACAGAATCCTAGCCCACAGCCCCCATCACAGCCGAAAAATCCACACTCACCACTGCAGCCATACTCGCTACAGTCGTGTTTGCCACATCGTGAGAGGCTCTTTCCAGAGCTACAGCCGCCGTTTGATGGGGGTGCATCGATACTGAAAGTCAAAGGAGGAACACTTGGGCTTGGATGGATCGGGGAGACAGTCGGCTGTACATGAACAGTTATTGCATGGGAGCTCGCATAGAACACTGGTGTCACGGTGGTCGTACTAGCGGTGGTTTTTGCCGCAGATGAACCCTCGGAGGGTGTAGTTTGAGAACCGCCTCCTACCGCTGACGTTGAAGAAACAGCAACACCTTGGCCCCCCAGTTAGTATCTGATCGTGTGGCTTGCGGTTTGAAGAGCACGAAGCTTACAATAATATTCCTTAGCCCATAGTCCGGCACAGTCTGTTCCTACCGCAGGGTTCCATTCCTGAAATTGCAGTTAGTAAGGCCAAACCAACAAGTCGGTATATTGATACAGGGAGGGACGCGCACGTTAAATTCAGCCAATGTAATACCATAGGCAGCAGCGATCGTCGCACATGTATCACCCTGAACGGCGTAGTAAAACTCGGTACAGTCAGACGCGATCCCAGTCTGAACCGCCGTGGGAGTGGTAACAACGCTGGAACCTTCAGAGCCACCACCCCCTATGGCAGTGATATTACTCGCCGTTGTGGTCGCCGTTGCGCTTGGTGTCATCAGGGCACTGTAGTTAGTATGGTACAGAGGGAATTCAGCCTCGGTCCCTGGCAAGGTGAGTACCAACCCTGGTGGTGTGATACTCTGCACTGCGCTGATATAGGCCTGATCTATGCTGCTATCATGCACTGTAATCGGCCAAAAGGGAATCTCGGTAATTTGGAACGGCGGAACCGTGATAACAGTGCTCTTGACCAACGTCTGCCCGTTGGAGCTTGAAGCCAAACTTGTGGTGATTGGTGGCCAGCTTATGGTGACACCTGTGTCCAGGGGATAGGGCGGCAAGACCATGGTACATGGGGGGTAGCAAGCTATTTCCTGGCTCGCATTGCTCCAGAGATCGGGTCCGATATATATATCTCCCGCCCCGCCATTGCTGCCATCATCTCCGGGAAATAAGGTCAAATCTCCGGTCAAACCGTCTATGCAGTCTCGTTAACAGCTGTCTAAGCAGGAAAGTCTTCCAAAGTGTTACGTACTCGTAGCGGTACCATCAGAGTCATATGTCACGGCCCAAACCATTGTTCTATTCAACGCATCAATGATGGTTAGCTTCCACCCAAACGGCATAGAGGTACAAATTTTGATGGGTCCCTACTAACCCGCCGAGACAGTGTGAGTTGGCATAGTCCATCTTCACGGCAAAGGATTCCCAATCATCATAGCTGACCCACTGATTACTATCAAAGGTGATGATTTGGACCGCTGCTTCAGAGTCATAATATTTATTCGCTCCACGACTGGAGTCCTTGAGAATTGATTCGATCTCAGTAAAGGAAAGGATACCAGCGCTGGCCGTACAGGGCCCAGCTTTGCCTAAAATTCACATACGTCAGTCCATCCATTTGAAGTCTGAGATGGTGATCGGAAGTGTAACCTGTTGAGCTGAATGGACATCCTGCAGTTACACATGAAGTGTCGTTCAAGGTGAAGCCTGTAGAAACTTAGCTGCAGCCACAACGATGAAGACGTCGAAGCTTACTTCGGCCATAAAACCCAAGCCCCATGACCACTTTGGACGGCTCAATGTCATTGCGCCACAGGAGGTCCATTGCGAGGGCGATTTCAGTCAAGTTGGTATGCGCGTTAACAATCGATCCAATCCAAGGGTCTTCAGCATCCCATCCCCCATCTGCAACAGATAGTTAGTACATACTGCAGTGGTTGGAGCTTCCGAGGACATACGTAGGTCATAGGTCATCATGTTGAACTATGTGGTGTTGATGGTTTGGTTAGTGCACGGCTGATCGTCGCTGGAATACGCATGGCTCACTCACCCAATCGACACTTTTCTCCATATTGACAATGTCAAAGTGTTGCAAATACCAGTAACTGCTCGGCAAAGTAATTGTCAAACCGTAACCTTTGCCCGCACTATCCAATGCTGTGCGCAGGTTTGCCAAAAAGGTCACATAATTCTCGAAATCCGCATCTGAGCCTCCCCGATCACTAGCTACTGGGTATTCCCAGTCCAGGTCGACGCCATCGAAGCCGTACTCCCCAAGGAAGGAAAGTAACGACTGAAAGAACGTCTTCTGCTTGGAGCTCGAGGCAGCAAGATCTGAAAATATGTTGACGGTCGACCCAGGATCATTGAAGGCCCAGCCGCCGATAGAAATCCACACCTCCAGATCAGTCTTCCTTTTCTTGAGGGCCACCACTCGACTGTACAGATCCTCCTGATCGGCTGCCATCGGTGTAATAGTGTAAAGATCGGGATCTATGTAGAGGAAAGCAAAGTTGAGGTGTGTGTACCCGCCGATGGGAATGCTCTCAGGGGTCATGGTATCGCAGCTTCGCTCGAGGTTCCACCCCTCGTAGTACGCAATTGTTTTCTTGGTCGCCGAATTACCGTCGCACACTGGCTCCGCAACGGTAGAGTTGCCACAGAAATCAGAGGTTGTTCCACAGAATCCATAGGCACTGCAGCAAACGTTCAACGGGCACTTTTCCGAGGAGGCATACTCAGAGCCTAAGCACGTTAGCCACGTCGTCGTCCGAAAATATGTGTCATTCCGGATCCTTCAAGATCGGCTCAACATACCCCATGCAACAGTGGTCCAGCCAGAGACGCTCGGGTCACATTCAGCAAGGTGGGAGCAGGTTCCATTGGTACTGGCCGCAGCAATGCAGTTCTGGGAGGAGCAGTAGTCTGGCCCGAAGCCACACACACCGGACAGTTTGGAACAGCAGCCTTCGGTACATGGGTTGCTTTTTGAGCAGGAAATATCATCACATATTCCAACAATGGCTAGTGAGAGAATAAGAGCCAAGTCGAAAAAGAGTGATGTCCGCATAATCTAGGCCGGGGAAAGAGTGTCACTTCTAGGACCACGGAACGAGAAGAGAGGAAAAGAAAGTCGCGATTATTGGGCGAGTCAGGCGTGCAGAGCGAGTGACACGCGTGAAATTGGACAAGAAGGAGTACTAAATTGACTGGTACTTATCATGGCACTTCCTCTACCAGCCAACATGCTTTTTATACTTGATATCCTCGGCATTGTGTACTTTCTCGCTGTCGGGTACCAGTCGTTCCGACGATACTATGGGTGCGGTTTGGCTCTTCTCGCACGGCCGGCCAGATCAGAGTATGGTTGACATCCTTGTGTTTCATGTTTGCGGGTTAGTGCAAATCTTAGGCAGGGAGCACTAGCCATGGCTCCACTTGGACTTACTAAGAAATCGATGATTGTAGTGTCCGGCGGTCTTGGCGACCAAAACTTACCACTTCATTGCCTGAAATGTTCAGGTGCAGACGGGCCTCCGGTCTAATTCTGATGGTCCTCTTGTGATACCAAACACTAAGCAATATTGCCTTCGCAGAACAAGAATGATCACTGAAAGGGTAGCAACTATTCACCAAATGTTCAACGTCCCATCCGACTGTCCGACTTGACTCGGGCGGCATAGTTGCATTTCATATTCATCGAAGAGCTATAGTAATACGTGGTACCCAAGTACATCGAAGGAACTCCAGATGTTCGGGGTGCGGATTGTTGAGGGGGCAATGATAGAGGATGGACCTCTTAGCCCAACTAAATGAAGGGGTCACGCGCTAATCGTTTAGTGTTATCTTTCGGGCCGTAAAGACTTGATATTGGCCGCACCCTAATCCGCAACAGGCACAGTAGACGTTGTGGTATCAGACAGATGTGTAAGGCTACGGTCTAGCCATATTTAAACCCTGCAGTCGCGGGATCCTTCCGGATGTTCCCTTCCGGTTAACAGATGTTCTTTGGAGTTCGTTCAGATGGGCTGCGGCCGAGCTTCCTAATTAGGATATTCGCAGCAACTTTTAGTTCGCTAAAACCGCAAAAGGAAACTGGCGCAGCAGTGGAGAACCCTGAAATTGACTTGCTGGTCATGCCAGCCGCAAGCACGAGCATGTGAGCCAGGTCCCGCAGGTGCGCCTCGCATATCAGATGATGTGGACAGTGAAACAGGACTAACTTTATCCGAGTAAATCCCTATTGCAATATCAGGATGCTTAGTTGGTAATGTGCGGGCCTAGATTGAGGGCCTAGCTTCATACCAAAATCCTTCTGCTACTCGAGCTCCCTTGAGTAGATTGCTGTTTGGTGAAGAGAGTCCTAGTAATATTACTTCCTAATATAACTCCACACTTCCTCGTGTTGCAGAGCGACAGCGTACGAGTTCATTCTAACTGATGCTGGTAGTGGCCGGGAGGACATGGTCAGAATCAACCGTCGAGATAGTCACCGTAGCCAGGCACCACCACATCCATCACAGCCCGTGCTGCCTACACGGTATCTCTCCTCCTTATCCAATTCGAAAATCAGGATAATTTGCCGGACGGGACCCTTTCATTTCCTTATGCAGGGGCACCCACACTAGTTGCTAGGACTAGATGGTGCGAAGCTAGTATGGACTATAACAGTGAACTAAACCTTGATATGGGACGGCTCTCCTCGCACCTTCTTACACCAGATTGTTCTCTGAAGCAATTGCGCGATTTTTCAACCAATAGACAGATGTTACCTGCTGGGCCGCTTGATCAAGGGACTGTAATGTTATCCTCATACAGTGAGCAATCTTTCCTAAAGAATAAGTTCAAGTTATCAGAGAAACGGGGGCAGGGGAAATCGTTTAGTCCTCTTTGGCTCTATCATGGTAAATAATTTGTCGGAGGGGCGGCGGGTCCGGTGCCTATCCCAGCAGAGCATGCAAAGGCGCCGATGAAGCACCGAGCAGAGAAATCAGATATAATGCTCATTGTTGCTCATCTCTGTTGAACTTTCTACCTATTGCTGCATCTCTATCCCTTGGTGCTGGGGCGCATTGTCTTTCTTTGACACGTTGTCGCTCGTTAATCTGCGTTATCTTATCAAGTCTGTCCTTTTCATTACATCTACCTTCATTCCATTATGTGGCTTTTGGGCAAGCTCACATTGGCAACGATGCTCGTCGCCAGTCAGGCAGCCGATATCAACACGCAGTTCTGGGTCGAGAAAGCCACGGGACCAGTAACGCGCTCGGGTCAGAGTGGTGATCTGGGCGGGAGCTGCGCCCCATATATGGACGTGTTAAACGATATATATCTTGAGGCCATAGACATGGCGGAGGTTGCACTAGAGGCCTTGAACAATTATGCCAGCAACCCAGTTATCCGTGCGACGCTTCAGACATATATGGGTATCAAACCAGATGGTACCGAGGTCTCGGCAGCTCATACCTCCCAATTCAACTACATCAAGGGTCCGTATGGTTCATTTTTCCCGATGAATTTGATCGGCTCACACCCGCTCCCCCCCCGACAAATCAAGGAATATTCGCCCCTAACACATCTCTTTAGGAGCCTACAACACGGTGGTTGCCTTTGGGAACTTGCACTATGGCAGTGATCGGCAGCCCGCTTTCTTTTGCGATGGAGGCTGGCGGTGGAAAACAACAATGGAATATGTCGATGGAAAGCAAACTGGGCGAACAGTGTCAGAGGCATCAGGTACGCAACCCCGAGGTCGAAGGCACCTCTTTTCATGTAACTCCTTGGTGTATTACGTGTTACTTTTGTCGTTGTAGTATGCTCTATCCAGGTTGCTGATCAGCTCTCAATTCTACAGGAGGCATATCCAGTTATATGTACTATTCACCGCGCTTCAAGACTTGGGCTGGTATGCAGGATGGTTGTGGGGACTCAGCGACTCTAGGTTTCTTTCTTTCCGACCCCAGAAGTATTACTATCTGCCCTGCTGCCTGGACATGGAAGAGAAGAAAGGACTCTTTGAAGCCGTGGAGGGACGGCACGCGGGTCATGAGGGATGGCAGACCCTTCTACAATGCTTACTCTCTGCCCGGGACATTCTTACATGAATTGATCCACCTCACCAGTGAATCAAGTCAGTTAGCTCCTTCTACTTGGACTATCTCCCACCATGGTGTCCAATTTTCGGATATCGGGAGTGCTCCACAATAAACTTTATACTGACGATGGACATTTAGTAATCACGGACAAGAAAGTGATTGTGGATGGTCAAGAGAAACCAGCCTATTTCCCAAATAACGTGGCTGAACTGGCGAAGTCGAGCGTTGACGATGCCAGGCTGAACGCAGACAGTTACGCATGGTTCGCTACCGCCATGTATCTGCCTGCAATGGATTGGTCTCGAGAAATTGCTGGCACATACACCGGCAGCAAGGTCTCATCTCGCATGGTCGGCAATATTACTTCATATATACCTGAAGAAAATGGTCTGAAGCGCCGCAGCGACTTTGCAAGTCCGGCAGTTCGGAACCTTGAAGAATATGAGGATGATGTTATCACTGACTATTTACTGTGAAGGTGCTTTGAACTACTTCAAAGCTTGGCAATATCTAGTGAGCCCCGGTTTGGGTGCTCTCTTTCTTCATGTATACATCTTGCATCTTTCACATACCTAAGCCAGCGCGAATAAAATCTATTTAGATATTTCTACCGACAGGTCCCTGGTCCCTCAATTCCAAACTTATGGATGGTTTTTAGTCCCCAAGCACTGAACCGAGCGGCTGTCTGATAAATGATGCATGTTGCGATTCATAACCTAACATCCTATTTTGCCTCAATGGGGTCATAAACTCCTCCCAGTGATCTATAATCTTTCCATTAAATGTGACACGAAAGTTCTTATACTCATGCTCACGATCACTATTCTCCCACCGCAAGAAGTAAATTAGACACCGGGTGCGTTGACCTTGGTAGAGTACAGGTCGATCGAGCCATCCATGCTGCCAATCTGTTAACCCTGCCAAGGGATACATGTCAGAGCCAATCACATTTCCTAGATTAAATGGATTTGTGCGGTTCAGCTTTTTAATATGTGAGCCTGTCAGGTCCTCTGGAAAATATACAGCCATAAGCTCATAGTACTCCATTGGGCCAATATACTGGGTCCGGAATACACCATCACTAAATGCGGCTCCCAGTGTCTGGGAGAGGTCGATCAAAGATATTTGGACTGATCGTTCGGAAGCCCAGGTAGCAAGAATCTCGGTAAGAGACTGGTACTCGGCTGAGTTGATAAATTTATTTCTTATATCGGCAGAGCTCCAGGCTAGAAAAAAAGAGAAAAGAAAAAAAAATGTCAGAAAATCTTTTCCTCGGGTTTCTGAGAATCCTACTAACCTAGCATGAGCCATTCAGTCTGCGGTCTTTCCACCGGGCAAGATCGTCGAAGTTTTAGATAAAACCGGTAATCCCATTGCTCGAAAATAGGTTGGAAGAGCTGAGTAATGGGATCTGATGGATCCTGATATGTCGCACCTGTACCTGGGTTCAATATGATCCAGTCGACTAACTTGGTGTTTTGTCCGGTTCTATGTGTATGTGGCTGTCTCAGAGCGAATGGTGACGCATCGCGGGAAGCCTCGGGCAAGAAATCAGGGAATTTGTGCTTCGCCTGCGCTCTGGTAATAGGGGGCATTGTGTGTGGGTGTGTGGGTGTGTGGGTGTGTGGGTGAAGAGCTGAGAATGTTGGAGGAAGTAAGGTGGGCAGCAGGTGGACGGACCGTGTTGGATGTACTCTATTTATTATCAAGTATCATCTGAACGGAAAAGGGGAGGCGGGGAGGGGGGGCGGGGGCGGTGGGGTGAGCGATGAAACGTTCGACCCGAAAAGCTTTTTGTACTGACTCCCAGTTAGTTGTACTTCTGAACTTTGGGTAAAAATGACCGCTGGAAGGAATACTACGGACTACTAAGCTCACACGCTAATCCAGATTTGTTCAAATTATTCTACATCAACGGGCCCACTGCCTCGGACGTTCGTCAAGGTCGCGATGGCGACTGTTGGTTCATGGCTGCGCTGTGTACCATGGGCAACAAACAAGGGTTGATCGAGAAGATCTGTGTCGCTCGCAATGAGAAAATTGGAGTGTATGGGTTCTTGTTCTACAGAGGTGAGCTATTGTCCGGATTGAAGGGCATTAAAACGCTAACCTCCTCCTAGAACGGTGAATGGCAGCAATGCATCGTGGATGACAAACTTTATCTTCGTGCCGCCGATTACGACGAGTCTGTGGAGGAACGATCAATCTGGGATGATATCAATCGAATCGATAACAGAGGAAGAGTATCGTAAAGTTTGGCAGACTGGATCGCGGGCTCTTTATTTCGCTCAATGCGCAGATGAAAATGAGACCTGGCTGCCGTTGCTGGAAAAGGCTTATGCTAAGGCTCACGGCGATTACTCCGCCATCGAAGGCGGGTTTGTTGGGTAAAACATTCCCAGATATCTATTTCACTCAGAGGCTAACATTTTCCAGGGAGGCGCTCGAGGACCTCACCGGGGGTGTGACATCTGACGTACTCACCAGCAACATTCTGGATAAGGACCGGTTTTGGAAAAAAGAGCTCATGCACGTCAACCAGGAGTTTCTCTTCGGCTGCGGCACGGGTATATTTGCCAACTGGCTGGAGCCGGAATATACTGGGCCTCCGAGAGATAGGAAAGGTATCTGTGAGAACCACTCATACTCGATTATGGAAGCGAGGGAAGTTGATGGTCAGCGTTTGTTACGGCTAAGGTACGTATAAGCACTTTTCTATCATAGAAAGATAGCTTACACAATCCAGAAACCCCTGGGGTAAAAAGGAATGGACAGGAGCGTGGAGCGATGGCTCCGAGCAATGGACACCAGAATGGATGGAGAAACTGGGACACAGGTTTGGCAATGACGGCGTAAGTCACCTACCTTTTTTGTGTAAAGCCATACTTACAGTTCCAAGTTCTTCTAGATTTCCTACGATGGCCTCCTCAAGAAATATCAACACTTCGACCGAATCCGTCTTTTCAACGACGACTGGACCGTAACCCAGCAATGGACAAGCCTGAACGTCCCGTGGTCGGCAACGTACCACAGCACAAAGTTTGTACTAGAAGTGAAGACAGCTGGACCTGCCGTGATCGTTCTCTCCCAGGTGCGCACAACCCATAACCTCAACCCTCCTAACTCAACTAACCATACCCCCAAGCTCGACGAACGATACTACAAAGGTCTATCCGGCGAATACGACTTCGACCTCAAATTCCGACTCCAGAAAGAAGGCGAAGATGACTACTTCGTTCGCAGCCACGGCAACGAGCTAATGTGGCGATCCGTTAATGTCGAAGTCGACCTCGAAGCCGGACGCTACCACGTCCTCATGAAAGTCACAGCATACCGAAACAAAGAGAAGCCCCCTGTCGAAGAAGTCGTCCGTCGACTAGCTCCCACTCGGCGCAGCAAGCTACTTCAAATCGGCCTTTCCTACGACCTAGCGCACGCAAAGGGTATCGTTCACGAAACCGAAAAGGGGAAACGAGCACGACAAGAACGCGAAGACCGGCGAAAAGCAGCTGAACGCAGGAAACGGAGAGAAGAGACTAAGGAGAGATTGCAGAAAGAGTGGGTCCGGGCGAGGAAGCTCGAAGCCAGACATAAGAGACTCGATGCAAGACTCGCTACTAAATCTGGCAAAAAACAGCAACAACTTATCAGGGAAGACAGCCCGTCTGAGGAAGTTGTTCCCGATGGGCCCGTGCAACCACCCGTCAACGAACTTGAGCTCCCTGGGAAAGCCACTATACCTTCTGTCTCACTTGAGGACGGTCATGTCCCGGACCACTGCGTTCGAAGCAAAAGCAAGACTTCTCTATCCGTCCGGGTCAAGAACCCTTCTTCAGATCATGCTGCAAACGCCGAATTCCTGGAGGGATTCGAATTTGACTCTGAACTCGATATGTCTTCAGACGAAGAGCCAGTTGAAGAAATCCGCACACCAGTCAAATCCGTTAGCAGCGCCGGCGAAGGCGATGCCAATAGCGATCCATGGAATGCCGTCTGTGTGGTTGGCTTGCGGGTTTACTCGAAAGATCCTCAGTTGTCTCTGGAGGTTCTGCGTCCCGTGCCGGAGGATGATGTCGAGGCGTCACTTGACATGGATGATCCGTCGGCGAGTGCAGCTACCGAATAAGTTCCAAATTGGCCCGGGGATTGGTTGTAGATGTGGTTCCATCATATTTATATAGAATTCGGTTTTCAGTTTGTCTCATTGTCTATTATCTCGTAGGCAACCTCGGCGCATATAATATAGCTCGTATACAAAATGTATTCATCCAATCCAGCAAACCGAATCCATCAGTCACAATTCAGCCCCAGCTAATTGAGCCTAACACAATATATTGCTTTCATATCCATACTAAATAATCAGTGTGGTTTATAAGGCCTATAAACACACAACTATTGCACTTCTGCCCACAATGATTAGTGACGCATACTTGAAGATGCCTTTCTAACATCAGAGACGAACCCCATATCCCATTGCCCCGACTAAGTACTTGGACTTCCTGCTCCCGGACAAGCCGAAAAGAGGATGCCCCAGTCCGGGCCAGCCGAACTGAGGGGAAATGACACAGATGTGACAAGCGGACGGCACCAAGCCCGTAGTCCTGGTAGATAAAAAGTATGTCCCAAGTGTCATCCCCATTTGCCGTCGCAGAAACCAACCCAATCAGGTGTTGATTCTGATTCATAAATAAATAAGACGTAAAATCGAGCACGAGACCGAACTGCTGCAATTCCGTACATGGTCTGTACGTTGCCTAGCCTGTTTCTGAAGGCTAACATGTTGTCTTTTTGGAGCTGTTGCCGGGCTCCATTCCACTTATGCTGGGTCGGGGCCCTTCCTGTGGGCTTCTTGGCTTCGACCACTATGACCTCGTGGAAGCCATTGTTCCTAGAATTGACCATAGAGACATCAGCCTTACTCTTCGACGGAGGGTAATTAAGGTATTCTTACCTCTCTACAGTGTAATGAGAGGTTCGGAAGTAATGCTGCAGGATATTCTGCCAGACATGGTCGACCGGCTTCTGAGGCTGATGCTGGCCTATTGCTAAGTATTTGCGATATATACCTCCGGATCGGAGGGCTCTGGTAGTACCGTAAGGTTTGAGGTGGGGGACCCTGCTGCATCTTGAACTGATGTTATGAGAGTCGACGTTTAGAGGAATCCCTTTTGCAAGATTGTTAGAGAAAGAAATGTTGTGAGACGCCGAATCAAGAGAGGTGCAAGAAGTGGGGAATGCTTTTTCGGTATATAAACATAACTATAGTGCTACCTGACTACTAGTTTCGGATTTCTGTTGCTATTCACTACTCAGTATCTTATTCACTCATAGCACCAACATCCAAAAGTCTCACCGTCAACAAATGAGTGTTGCCTTCCTCAATCATATTCCACTCAGAAGGACCCAATGTTCAACATCGTGCTACTAGAAATGCACCACTGATATTAAGCCCTTGCTCTTTGCAGGTTGAGCAATTAGTCTGTCCTATATCTGCCCCTACGAGTAGGTGCTGCAAATCTTGTGTACGGCCTACATGCCTGGGTAGTAAAGGTTTGGCTTACTTTATTCTACCTACTATTCACCCTGCTGAACTTTGTTGAGTTTATTAGGGAGCTTCGAAGCTTACTTCAATTCCTGTCACTATTATATCGGCCCCTCCCTCCCAGAAATCGAGTCCTTCTTGATAAAAATGGAACATCCTACCCAAGTATGTCTTATCTATTCAAGAATATGAACTACATTATAAGATATGATACTAATCTTGGCGGCGTGCATAGGCCATCTTCCACAACGCTGTTTTCCTCGCTGGGAGTTTCTCTGGGGCTGGTCCCCGCAAACGTGCCCGGGTTGAGAAGCCGAAGAAGCCTGCCAAAGAGCAGAGAGACATCACGAAGATGTCCGCCGCGGAGAAGGTAATATCAACTCGCCTTAAAAAGATAAAGTCAATATAAGCATATTCTAATATCTGGATCTAAAGAAGAAGGAGATTGCCCGCCTCCAAGCCGCAATCAAGAAGGAGGAGGAGGAGCTAGAGAGGAAGAGGGAGAAGATCGCGGCCCTGGAGGCCTCAATTCTGGCTGATGAGGCCGACGACAAACTTATGATTGAAGAATGAGGCTTCTTTTTTGTTTCCTTTTCCTTGTTTTCCTTTTTTTTTTTTTTTTTTTTTTTTTTTTTTTCAACGTTAAAAAACAATCAATGGCATATTTTATTCGCCCTATATATCCAGCGTAGCAAGGAGTATACTACGTCTTCAATCCGACGTCTTTTCCCGTAACCAGAGGCCCGCCAATCCCCTTTCATCCTGCGAGTACCGAGTGAGAGTCACTCTCCTCTCACTGTATCCCTTTTCACGCCCCCAAAAGCAAGATCTTCGCATGACATCGACCATGTCATGGGCCTGCTGTAACAACACACTGGGCGTTTTATTTCTCTTTGTAGAGGACCCTTTGTGCTGCCTCCCTTCCGAGTTGCCGTTTTGGTCCTCAGATTCAGGCACAGCTTGAGTAAATATTCTCACCCAAGGGAGTTCCATTTCCAGCCGCTTAACCCCATGGCTAGGACTCTGCCACGCCGGACCACTATTCCCGTAATCGAGACCGAAAGGAGGCCATCGGGAGAGCGCCTTTCGCCGACGAGGAGGACTTCGTTTCGTCTCACTGCCCGTAGACTCTGACTCACTCATGCTATCCTCTTCCCCGATATACACGTCCCAGAAATAATCGATGAGATCATCCTCCGTGGATACACTTTCTCTCGCCTTCAAAACAGGGATCGGGTACTCCGGACCGGTAAGATACTCCGGAAAGAAACGAGGAACATTCTTCCCTGGCGAGCGAAGAAATAGCAATGGTGACGCAAATGCGTCGAAATATCTCTCGGGAGTGGAGAAGAATCCTTTTCTTGCTTTAAGAAGAGGGACAAGATCGTGGGGCGCAGTTCCTCCTCCGCGGGGGCCTTTTCTGCTTCTGCTTGGGACATTTCCATTAGCATTATTGGAGGGCGGTCGCTGAGTGCAATGCTCATCAAGCGAGGTCCAGTCGCAGATGGGGTCAATGGCCGCTACTGCGTGGATGGATCGTGCTTCTGTAAGGGAAAGCATGAGTGCGAGCGAGCCGCCGATGTGCGTGCCTAGGACTCCTAGGCGCTGGGGCTGAAGGGTCTGCAGAACCCAGTCAAACCCGGCGAGCGTGTCATGGATGGGTGTAGGGAATTTGTATGGGTTTTGGTTGAGGGTTAGTTCGTTGGGAGTAGCTGGGGAAATTCCCAGACGGTAGTTAACTGTTACTATTGTCGAGGACGTGATGGACGCTATTTGTGACAGTCGCTCAGCTTCTGCAGTGGGTGCATTTTCGTCGCTATCAGCTGCCTGAGGAATAGCATCTCTAGATGATTGAGAATGAGGTAGGTTGAAGATTGGGCCTGCAGGAAGGTTGATAATAACGCGCTCATTGGGTCGTTTTGTCAGTGAGTTAGAGTTAGGTGGGGTTATTCTTCGTTCGCTATCAGTACTGAGGCTGAATTGTCTTCTGCGGTATATCTATCAACCTACTTGAGTGCTATGGAACCGTTGTTTCCAACTGGAATGTTGACACTATGGCTGTTATGGGAGAATAATGCGCGTCGCACCCATTTGCTAGATCGTAGATGATCGTGTCCATGTATGACACGGTAGCTACATAATGCAGGAGAGAAAAAACAGAATTTTGATGCAGAATACCTGCATAGAATCATGTCATAAAGTGGAAGCGAGACGATGCGAGATAGAGGATGGAAAAGGAGCTGTTGAGTAGTAGTTGCAACTATACCCGTTACGGGTCGCAGCTCGGCGTGGCCTAACTTAACTCCGACCGCGTACTTTGAGGATGTCAATAACCATATTCTATGTTTCTACCATTTCATACCTACTGGTAGTTTCAGGGTGCATTGGGGCTATCTAGGTAGACAGAGTAGTTCTTATAGATTATTATAAGGGATTATTCGCTAGTGTCTAACTAGTCAGTTAACATCCAGTTATGTCTTGGCATTATGTGTATGCATGACCCCTACTTACTTATACCATATTGTTTGCAGGAGGCACATTGTCAGCTTCGAAGTCCCGCAAGGGGATATCACGACCCAATGAGGGCCTTGCGTTTAGTCTCAGGACTTCATCGAGATTTCGGGGCGTGTAAGCCCTCTGTGGGGCTGGAGCTGGCCATCTATATATATAGGTACATAGTATTGAGTTAGCTGTATTGCTCTTGGAAAGCCTTCAAATGGTATATTAGAAGTATGAGGAAGGGAAAAAGAAGTAGTATAAGGAGGAGAAAAAGAAACTTGTGCCACAGGACACTTCGGTTTGACGTGCCTTCTATTGATGTATTTCACGAAAGCGTAACAAGCCATTCCGAGGAGCACACTGGTGAAGCAAAGGCCCGCACACAGGGCACCAACAGCGAGGTTGTGCGACATATCGCTTGATGTAGTAGTGTAGTTACTATGAAGAACTAGTAAAATCCCATAGGATTGTTTGAACATAATCAACTCTCCCGGGCAAGGCCTGCACCTTCCCATTCGGGAAGGAAGGCGAAGCGGAAAGGAACTTGTAGACTAACCCCCACTTACCATCATTGACAGTCAATAACCCCATTTCATATCTACTGATAATCTCAAGCTTATTGAGCCTTTTTAGGTAGGAAGAATTGTAGTCAGCAACTTGTATTGTTAAGATTCACCGGTTTGTGTGACTAGGGTTCATCATCATGGTCACGATGATATTGACCTTTAGACCAATTCGCACCCAAATATAAAGTCCCAAACCCTTCCAATCGCATACGGATCACTGGAATTGTTCCGATCAAACCCAGCCCTTGCCAGTCCCTGATCCTCCGGAGTATTAAGCTCGAATCCCCGAGCCCGGATACAACATCCGCACTGAGCCGTACAATGACCCAAGGCATAAGGTCGGTCCTTGCTCCGTGGCCTCTCACAACATCCACAGTCGCGGCCACAGCATCCTCCTCTCCCAGCACAGTCCCGACGAAGATTCAATGTCATGCGCCCTTCAGGGTGCTCCCATCTTGTACTTAGCGCGCGTCCACAAGGCGAATTTGGAACTCTCAGACCGTAGATATATTGTTCTCTTTCGGTCCGCCAGAGCTCGCGAGTCAGCTCATCTAGTTCTTTGTACCAAGCCTCGAGTTGCTCCTGTTCATCCTCAGATAGCTGCGTTTTAGTAATTCGCTGACATTCCGCTTTCAAGAATGCTTCCCTTTGCAGAATTTCACGATGACGCATATCATTTTCAAGCAGAAAAAGCACAGCCTCGCAAGTTTTTGTGCAATCTATCATCTGCCAAATGACTTGCTTATAGCGCATTCGTTGAGCCGTCTTCCATCTTCCGGTACGCTCGAGATGGTTTTCTATCTTTATCAGAACTGGCTCGGCCCGGCGGGCAAGTGACCGTCTGAGTAGTCGCAGTAAGCTACTCATCTGGAATGTATGATCGGGGTGGTCGTTGTGGTAGATCATGATCAGACGGTTCCTTAGCAAGAATCTTTTTGAGAAAAGCATTCGAATTGTTCAGAAAATTCTCCTATTTATGAGTCGACGATTATGGCAGTATTATGTCATTGTGAAGCTATATACTGTTCATCAAGACGTGATGATGACCGACATGATCACTCTATACCAGCTGAGGTAGGGCATCTCTTCTTGACATTCTAGAGACTATATGCACCTTCCGAATGGGAAGGAAGGCACTAGTCCTTAATTGAACTTACATCCCTCAACAACTACTACTGCTACCTGTTTGAACAATCTTAAGGGCTTTCACTAGTTCTGCATAATATATTACACCGCAGCAAAATACAAGTCGCACAAGCTCTTGCCCGTTTTTCCTCTGATTCAGAAAAGGTACAGCCGATAGATGAAGTTATCCAGTACTACTAGCTCCTCACCGGGGATCTCCATATCACCTCCGCCCTGGCTCCTCAATTCTTTGCAATATCTTGCACGGAACAAGCTCTTCGTTGCTGTTCTGTGTGCAGCCATTTTACTCACCTGGGTGCTCCTCCTCGAAGTGGCCATTTATGCTTCCGTAAAGTTCATTGATAGAAGGTACGTCAACTTAAAATATGTTGTGGGACAGACCCCTCTCTCTCCCTCCCCCTCTCTCCCCCTTCAAGTATACCTGGAGGGTTTTCCACGAGGGACAGGGCTAATTTACGATGTATCTATGTATATAGATAGCCGACTCCAACCCCACTGAGGGCTTACACGCCCCAAACTCTTGAGGAAGTCCTGATATTGAATTTAAGACGGCCAGTTGGTAGTTATACAGTTATAAACCCGTTGGGGCTTTGGGGGCAGATGCTATGCCTTCTACAAATGTGGCATAAGATGGGAACAGCCGGAACTGAGGCAAGGCCTAGCTCTTTGGTTTCTTGCAATATCTTATGGGGAACAAGCTGATTGTTGTTGTTCTGCATGGTCTACTACAGCAGGTGTGAACGGGCGCACCTCGTTACGTAGCTATAGATTCTTCTTTTCTTGTAGTATCTTTGTATGACACGAACATATATATTGCTGCTTTCTATCATCAAAAGAGACATCCCATCGTCTATGTAGCCTTCGATATATGCCAAAAACTTTAATTTGCCGATCAAGACGAATCTGACTTCATTTTAACGCCCTCTTACTGTGACCTCACCTGTCTCTCCTTCCTCTACTCAGAGGAAGTCTACGCATCTTGATTGCGTCACAAAGATGACCATTCCTTGACTGCTCCTGGTAGATTATCAATGTTGATTACCAAATCCTTTAGTAACTTCCTCTATGGGAGGTTTCGCTTGGAGCAAACCTCAATATCAAAGAAAGAAGGAAGCTGGCAGGCGTGGCGTCGTCGCTTCCCTATTCTGCACTAGTTGCCACTTTTAGGCCATTGTTGGACATTGACATGGAAGGTCCTGCTAGTAATGGTGCAAATGCAACTGCCACATGAATCGAAACCAAGGATATATTAAGGCTCCATTGAGGAAAGTACACAGTCGTTCCTACTTGCTCCCTAGCAACCAGGTTACTTGCAACATAACATCCAGGAACGGAACTTATAGACTAACACACACTTACCATCATCGACACTGGTTTAACACTGAAGTTGCTTTGAGAGTCATCTTCTGTTTCTTTTATCTTCCAGCACCCAGTGGCCAAAGCGACAGCGCTTCAGTATTCCACTGGAATTCATAGCCTCAGCCTGTGGTCATAGCCATTACAGCATTGGCGGTGCAACGATAACATGCTTAGTATGTTATACTCCAAGTCCATGACAGACACCCATTAGACTGACTCAACTATGTCTCTTCGATCAGACAGCTAACATCTTCTCTACTTTCCCCCAGCACGCGTGCCCGCCGGGCCAGATGTACTTCCATAGCGGAGGCAGAACACCTCCAAGCAACACAAACCAACATATTGCCGACATTAGGCAACAAACCTTTCATTATGTTGCATGGAGAGCACCGGCTCTCATGCCCAGATGAACGCGCCCGCGAAATCAGGCAAAAGCCAATATATCCACGAGGGGAAATCCTTCCGGCAAGGTTAGCTTCCATGTTACTCCTGCGCATAACAGGAAAGGAAAAATCCCGAGCGAAACTAACAAGCCACATTTGGCAGGACTGGAAACTCTCTTAGCTCCCATGGCTCCAGCCATTATCGGGGTGGCCACCTATGGAATCCCATGCTTCTCTTTGAATAGGTGGCCACCCCGGGTGCCTGTTGCCCCCTACCAGCCCCAAACACTGGAGGAAGTTCAGTCGATGAATGAGCGTCCGAAGAGGGGGGTTCCGGGGTGGAAAGCCCTGAAAGCCCTCGCAAGAGGTTTGAAGAAAATTTGGGTTTTTTCTAAGAAAAGGGGGAAAAAATTATATTTCTATACCAAGTCGACTGCCCATCCTGGGCAAAACACCAATGGCACAGCGGATAGTACTGATCTCCAACAAATGGATCCCCAACGAACGGATACTATCCAACAAACGAATTCTCGAAATACGGTTCAAAATAACACTAATTCGATTTAATTCGAGTTGGACCAAATTTACACTTACACACAATGCAACGGCGTGTGTTAAGTATGAGGAAGATTACGTGGTGTTGATAAGGAAGGGACCGTACGAAGAGGCCGCAAAGCAAGCGAATGGTTAGGTAAAACCCTTGGGCTTCTAGAACATTGATAAGACCAGTAGGCTGGGTCACCAACAGAAACTAGGAGCCAGTTCTATGAGAAAAAAAGAGAAGTAGTAGTATCGAACATCATTAAGCTATTTGGCATCTATATCTATATCATAACGAGGATCCTCCGAAAGTAGTGGTCCCGTTAGGCGAATCCCACCACGGCTCAATATCAGTCAGGCTAGGCAGGGTCGGGTCACTCCCATACGCGGTGCTTGCATTCCCCAGGTGAGGGAATCCACTATCGCCCAAATTCTCGGAGAGCAGCTGCAAATCTGAATCCCGGATCCAGTCCAATTCCCCAGGCTGACATACACCTAATTGCTGTGTCGGGTCAGAGGCTGGTTGTCCCGGTCCTTGATGCAACTGAGACTGTGAGTGGCTGAATGAAAGCCCTGGGGCTGTGATTGAAGACGTATTGTTGAAGGATAGAGGAACAGCGGCTTGGTTCTTCGGAGCGGTAACTCGGGACTTTTTCCGCGAGGCCTCTGCATCTGAAATGCGTCCTGTGGGCTGTTGAGAGGAGAGTTGATGGCGACTCGTTTGGCGCTTCAGTGCCCCGGAGCGTCGCATGTGCGCTTGCCAGCGCCGTTGCAGACTGACTAGGAAGTCACGGGTTCGTTTAGCGTTTTCGAATGACTGGCCTATCTCGTCGAGTGCGCGGAAGCAGAGGTTCAAGTAGGCGACCATTTCTGCGTTGCTGCTAGCGGTGTCTCCGCCTGGTCGGGAACTTGATATGGTGACGTAAAGGAGCATGAGCGCCGCACTGAAGATCATGGCGACGACTTGGTTGTTCATACGCCGGAATGTATAGTGTTTCTCGTATATATGGAGGAGTCGGGCAATTGCTATTGATGACTCGACGCACATCCGTCGAGCGTGGTGATAGCCGGGACCTTGACGCGGGCTGCGGGGTTGAATGTAGCTCTTGGATACCCAGGGTCTGTGGGTGAAGATGACGATTTGATGGTATTGCATGCTATGATCGTGTTAGTATCGAATATAAGCAAAAGTGAGTCGTGGGGGGACGCGAACGTACTGAAGTACTAGGAGGTGAGGTAATTTGGGAACATTATCATTTGCGAGGTCAACATCCAGACTGGATGGCAGATTGGCCTTCCAAGCGAAAAGGTCGTCCGTAACCCTGTGGCAAAGCCTCTGCAGATCATGGCGTGGAATGTCGGAGCAGCCGTAGCTGTATCCCGCGTTAGCATTTGATGAAGGGCATCGGGGGCTGGGAACTTACAGAATGTGGCCGACAGGCGATACGATCTCCCAAAGAACAGCGAATTGGCGGCTTATCAGCTCATTCGGGTTCCTCAATCCGTTCTCCAGTAGGTCTGACTTCATTGGGAGCCCATACGGGTGCCACATGCCTTCCTTTTCAGCTCCTAGATCTGAAGCAGGCTTTGGGATAGTGATATCCCCTGCGTTCATTCGGAAGGGCCTTCCCAGATAAAACCCCCAGAAACTGTACCATCGAATCAGTCTTGGTCTAAATAGGTCCACCATCACAGGGGATACTTACTGATCCGCAGTATAGCTGCCCCAGAATGCAATCCTACGTACATCGGCCTCATGAACGCTTATGTCGCCCTTTTCAACGTAAGGTGTCGTATCCAAATGCAGTCCGAGATCAAATGCAAGTCGCATTGACATCCCTAGACACAGTCAGTAACAAACTTGCAGTTCCCGATATGGTCAAGCTTACCGCTATAGAGCCAACCTCTGGCATCGCGATTGGAGGATCCCTCGTGCGAGCTGAGAATAACAAGAGCTTGGACAGTCGCAACGCAAGGGGAATCCAACTCGATCTCCAGAAGAGCCTTGGCCCTGTCTGCAAAGAACTCCGAAAGCGATTTTGGAAACGTGATGAATGTGGGATGATACCGGGCTTCGAATGCACTACCGATGGCGCACCTAGAAATTGTCAGAACAGGTCACAAATTTAGAGGAGCGGGTACTTACATGGCATTCGTCAGGACCTCCGAATAAAAGGGTGTGTCAATCAAGTCGTTCCTCCATTTCATCCTCGCATCCATATACATATCCTTATCGACCACATAGGTGCTAGGGTTTTGCCAGGTGAAGTAGAGTTCGACAAGGTGGTCCTCGAGGGCCTGGTCAACAGGCTGCCCCACCCGCAGATGGTTCAATATATCCTGTCCGTCATGACGGACGGTCCGTGCATCTGGGCGTTGGCGTTGTTGTGTCGCAGACACGTCCACAAGGTTGAGATTTGAAGTAGCTCCATAGAATCTGAGGTGACCATCTCCGGCGATCTTCAAAGTCCCTATGCGATGCGAAATCTGCTCAATGACATCTTTTTCCGCTTCGTCTTCCTCACCACTATCAGACTCATTGTCTCGGTCCCACGCTTGGCTCAGTAAAACGCCCGGTTGTTGAGTGATGTCTGGTGTGAACTGGAGGCTATCAGGACTAGTACTATTCTCGTTGGAACGATTAGAAGCGCCGTCTATGTTGGCGTATAGAGCATCTAAGCTCTCTGCCGTCGGAAGAGTAAACCCCCAGTGTGTCGAAGGATAATTGGCGGACAACCCCGGGTTCATCGCCAAAGGGTTCATAGACACTTGACTTTTCTCGACCGGTGGTATGAGACCCTGATTAGGAATTACACTGTGCGATGGAGAGGAGACCTTGGGTACATCCTCGGTGCCACCTAGTTGACGACTCAAAGAAGGGAGAGGAGATGGTGTGTGGGCCGGGGATTGAGTAACGGGTTGGGGCTGCGCATTGTTCCCACTAGACGCCACCGAATCCCTCCTTTTCGCTAGCCCCCGAGGGATTTGCAGGGTATCCAGAACCCTGTTCATGCCCGCCTCATCTTCGGGTTTCATTGGGGGCGGTTCCAACCCATGATCGTAGATGAACTGGCATAGTTGGTCTATTCTTGCGGAAAATAACTCCGTCGCGGCGCGGAGAGACACTCTGGCAAGGGTACGGTCAGCCTTGTTTGGCTGCGCGGATAAACAAAATGACGATTTTGATCCTGCGCTGTTCGCTGAAATTTCGATATTCCATCCAGATTTTATCATAAGACGGTCGATACCCAGGACACGAGAGGCAAATTCAACGAGGCCGACGGAGAAAACAGAGAAACAGCGAGCGAGTTAAACCTACTTCCGCTTATCATCACCGTGTTGGTATTTGCAATCCTTTCCCTTCTTCTCGCAATTGTGGCAGTTCGGAGTGGCACCGTCACACTGGGCGAAATTGCGTCAGCATCCGGGGAACATTATACCAAGTCTGATGATAGGATCCAAGCGAAGAGTTCACATACCCTGATCTTGCTCTCCCGACAAGGAACACAAGCGGTGGTGACATGCTTCCGAGGTGCCCGCTTGGGCTTCTCAGACTGCGGCTGCATGGTGATTTCCAGATTTGTTGAGTTGGTGCGACAGCAGCGCGAGAATACCCCGGGGTGTGGGGGGAGGGTGAAGGGAGATAAGTTCAACGAGGAGGGTGAGAAGAAGAAAGCATCCGGTCACCCAACATCGACTGAGGGCAGTCGGACAGCATGCATGGTCTAAGATGCAATTCAGGGAGGAAGAAGGTCATGAGGACAGACGGAGATGGCGCACACCGTCAATAATAATGGTCTGGAGTTCTTGTGCTGGGGGGGAGGGTCTTAGCCCGGTCGGCGACGATGCTCTGGGGAAGTGTTGGCGATCCTCTGATAGGCGGGCCTCCCTGGGAAGCGGGGGATATCCCCCCACCCAGTGGGCCAATCAGCCTCTCGGTAACCCCAAGCATCCCTCAAGGGAAAGAAATCCCGCGCTACTCGACGCTTTCTTTATCTCTACAAGTACATTCAGCGCAAATCGCGCCTTTTCCCGGCAAATACAACAGTGCTAATATCTTCAGTATATGTGCGGCAGGCCGGATAGATACACAATCTCTCTACTACAAGTTACCAGTACGCTTAAGCGCCTCGTTTTGGACAACCTCTACCCAATAGTTATCAGGATCCAGGATGAATGCCACGTACTTCATCCGTCCATCCGTAAGGCGCTTCTTCCAGTTAACGTTCAGAGACTCGAACCGATCACAGGCAGCGTTGAGATCATCGACGGAGACACCTGTAACCACCGGCTGTTAGCGAGTCCTCTATCCTCTGCGGGAAACTGACCCATTAGGCGGGGTCAACATAGAGAATGACTTACAGATGTGTCCGAAACCTTGCGGTTCCGTGTTACCGTTGTGATAAACCGGGCCCTCTTGCTTCTCCGTGCCATAGTTCCAGGTGAGCTCCAGCAGACCCTCCCACTCAGAGACCGGGTTGGTGGCACCCTCTCGCTTCTCAGGGTTGGCACCAGGGTAGCCCAGGAAGTAAAGGTTGAATCCAGCATCCTTGTTCTCAATGGTGCGCAGCAAAGTCATTCCAAAGACTTCCTGGTAGTACTTGACGCTAGTCTCGGCGCACTTGACACGGAGCATGGTGTGGTTCAGGCGGTAGGTGGAGGGATCGGTGGTGGTGCCAACATCCTCATTGTGACGGCGGATAATCTCGACCCAGTATCCATCGGGATCCTTGACAAACGCGATGTGACGCATACGGCCCTCGGTAAGCTTCTTCTGGAAGGGGTATCCGGCATCCTCCAGTCGCTTGCAGGCAGCTTCGATGTTGTCCACAGAGACAGCAATGTGTCCAAAACCGCGGTAGGGCTCAGTGTTACCGTTGACCACGCTGTAGTTGGGGTCATTCTCCGTGCCATGGTTATGGGTGAGCTCCAAGACGCCGTTGCGGTCGGTGAAGTGACGGTCACCCTGGAGAGATTGAGGGCCATCGTAGGCAAGGAAGTAGAGGGAGAACTTGTTCTCGGGGAAGTCGATCTGGTTAACCTTGTTGAGACCCAGGTACTGGTAGAATTCCACTAAGCGATAGCGACAGATGAGTATATGAGGCACCTCTGAAGCCTACTATGAAAGGCGAACATACAAGACTTCTTCGGGTCCTTGACCCGAAGCATGGTGTCTGTCGTACAGGCACATTGTTAGCTCCAGACCGGACTGATGATCAGGGCAAAGGGAGCCACTAACGGTTAAGCTTATACTTGGAAGTGTCTGTCGCCATGGTTGCGAGGGTTCGATTGGTTCCTACATCTCCTGTGGTAAGCTTCTGGAATCGATCCGAGTGGGGAAGCTAATCTCTGGAAATGATGGAGGCACGTACCAGGGACGATGGAGAATCTTGGGACGAGGACCCTGAGGAAAGATGAGCGAAAAGCGGGAAGCGAAAACATGAAGGGAGGAGGGGAAAAGGAAACAGAAAGAAAGATGGCTTGTTTGGATTAGTGAGCGGCGTGTGAGGAGACCCGAAAAAAAGGTGGGGGTTCCACCTGCCTATGACGCTATCCAAACAGGCCCGCCTAAAGCTTGCATTAATAATCGCATTTCTTTTGAATTTCGCATATGTCAATGTCTAAAATTGGCTTCTAGAATACTTTGCGCAGTCTCCAGATCTATTATATACTCGAAAGGTCTACAGTGTTGTGAGCAGACTTAACCAACAGTGGAGATAAGAAATCCGAACCAAAAGAGGGGAAGGATATATACTAGTGCGGCGGGCATAGATAGTATGACACACTAAATGAACAATTGCCAATTCAGTACCAACTGCACACTGAATCGCATAAACCTCCTGCTAAGAGTACTACTTGCGACTATAGGTTCATGTTTTGGGGAATAATTCCCTGCCGAGACAAGCGAGACCATATTACTAGTAGTAGAGTATAGATGGTTCGGTCTTTAATACTCCGTTTACTATCTATGACAGTTGGGCAAGGCGGTGAGAAGCGGGATACCCCATACTTCTTTTCTGCCGCCCACCTTTCCACTTACTCCGACAAAGCATCTCCAACTCCCTCTTTCCCTCGCCTTGGCTGATCCTAGTCGTTCACTTTGCAACCTCCTCGTGTCTTCAATTCCCTAGCGCAGGCCGCTCTCGCCCTCTATAAGGTTTGTGTTTTTCTTTTTCTTCCCGTATCCTTTTGTGTCCCTTTGGCTTTAATCCCCAGGGATCGTCATCCTCCGCCCAAGCGATCTTCGCTTTCGCCCCAGACATCGGCCTTGTCGGCCATTGACTGCCGCCTTTTGTTTCTTTTTCCTCTTCCTTTCCTCCTTTCCCTCCCACATTATGCTATTTTCGTGTCCTTACCTCGTTCCATTGCTGTCGTGGCCAGTGGCCCCCGGCTGTGACATTCCTCCGTGAAACATCCCCCACGCCTCGCTTCCTGCGTTCTGGAACGTCAGATGAATCATACCACGCCTCATTTGACCATGAGATCCGGACTTCGGCATCAGCCTTGGACAGGAGATCCAACTTGATTAGTTGTGTCTTTAAGCCAAAGTGGCAGAAGAGGCTCCTTAAAATGATTCACGTTCGTCCTTTGTACTACCGCCGTTTCGTCTTATCTTGGACACTTCACTCTGCTTTCTACCCTTCTACAAAACCCCTTATCAAGCCCATTTTCTCTGCTCTCAAACTCCGATCATCATCTACTACTCTCAATATCCCATAATACATCCTCACTGAGACAATATGGCTGAATATGATCATCCAGTTCGGCCAGGTATCCCCGGTCAAAACCCCAAAGTCCAGCCCGAACCCCCATATCGTCCTTATTGGGCACGAAGCCCCGTTCAGTACGCGCAAGACCTCCTCGGATACTCCGAAGACCCGATCGAATACGATTACAACGACCGTGACTACTGGGACAACTGCTTCTTCTTTCCCGAAGACTGTTCTTGGTCTCCGCCAAAGGGCTGGATTATTGAAAACAAAACACTCGAACAAGACATCGCGCTTGGAGACTGCTACGAGCAGCACAACGAAGGCAACATGATACCCGGTCTTCCGGACATAAAAATGCTGGATGCGGAGGCGCTCAGCGACCTCCTAGAGGATAATTTGTCACCTCCGGAAATCACCTCTATGATGTATGGACATTCCTGCTCCCTCGGCGATGGAGATGCTAATGAACCATGCTTTACAGGGTATTCGCTACCAATGGCGCTATTTTCGCATACGCATCCTCCCTCCCTTCCCGGCAGCTGCGCAATCTGAGCGCAACATACGGTGCGGCGTACACATGCTACGCTAAGAATGCATCATGTGGGAACCTCACTGGCGTGAACCCCGCCAGTCACCCATCATCATACGTGACCACCCCGTCTGTGTCCCTAGGCGATGTCGGGTCTATTGTTTTCGAACTTGACGATTTAGTGGCGGTCGTGACAAGGATCGCAGACAAGGTCCTTCTTGCCGCAGTCGGGCCATCGAAACTGGGAGATGCCGAAGACGCAGCAACACCGAACGGTACACAGAGTCTTTTAAACGGATCCTCACATCCCGGAGGCGACGATGCTGCCAATGATGGGAGGACATATGCCAGTGTTGTAGCAGCCAACGGAGGCCGCCATGGCCCTAGCTCGGACGCGCAGCTCGAAAGCCAGTACGAAATCGACCGGAGCAGTGATCTAGCTCGTCTAGCGACCCTGAACCTCTCCGCCTCACCATCTATCCTGCTCGCGCTGGAGTCCAAATCCGCAGCGCTAGGGAGATTCCTGGGCCAGAAACTGGCAGATCTCGAAAGCCCTGAAGATTTTTAAGCCTGCACACTTTACTTCTCACCCTCAATACCTTTCTTTCCCGTACCTTCGTCTGTATTAACCGCATTTAACTTATATCCTTCGAACTGTATCTATCCGATACGAGCTCCCACGATTCTCCCAGACCTTTTTTACCCCCTTGAGCGTTTCTATTACAACGATGCGATACATCTCTATCTCTATCTATCTTACCTTTTTTATCCTCTTGCGATATATTGAAATAAACATGTATCTTTGAAGACGATGTATACATCCAGAAATACATCCACTCGGATGAATCGATGACTAAATACACTAGCTTGTTCATTCTGTATTACACTCGATATCAGAAACATAAGTAGCAACGAAGATACGTAATGAAAAGGGTATAAACACCGAAGCGCAACTTGAAACCAACCGCAACTCATACAAAATAGTAAAGCCTGCTTTTGGTGGTACATCGAACCAGATTGCAACAGCTTAAAAACTCACGTACATTCGAGATAGCAGCATATTTCTATACTAGATTAGAATCCCCACATGAAGATTATCACATAGACATGGAAAGATAAATACCAAGTGCTATACGCACTACCAATTACGCAAAGAAATAACAGAGAATAGGAAGCCAAAGGATAAAGTTCAATTGCATGCATGCAGCAAAGGGAATATTATACGGGTAGTTAAGTAAGTAAGTTAGTTAGTTGCATATATACCAGAAATAAGAAAAGATAAATAGTTATCACGCCTTATCCTCCGTAGCAGTGGTAGCAGGTGCAGCTGCCGGGGCGGCGGCACCAGAAGCAGTAGGGAGAGTGCCAGAGCCGCTAGTATTAGTACGAGAGACAGCAGCGGGAGTGGTCGGGGACGCAGCGGTGGCTGATTCCTGCTGAGCAGCAGCGGATTCCTTCTCGACGTAAGCGGGGGGCTGGGAGCTCTCGGCCGCAACAGGGCTGGTTGGCGAGGTGGTGGTGCTAGAAGCGAACGTCGGAGCGCGAGTGGCGTCCTTGATGACGGTCCACCATTTCTCGGCCTCGTTGGAGTTGGCGGCCTTGAAGCTCAGCTCGGTGTTGGTGTGGAAGGCGTTTCCGACCTTGCCGCTGGAGACGTCCTTGCCCTTGACGCTGAACTTGGAGCCGTCGATGGCGCCGATGATGCAGTCGGGCAGGTAGAGGGAGAGTTCGGGGGCGGGGTCGCGGCGGAGATCGTCGTTGTCCTTGAACTCGTGGAGGTAGCGGGCGGGGGTAACGACGTAGAAGCCGCTGCTGTAGCCCTTGAGCATGGCGCGGGACTTGCGCTCCAGAGTGCCCTCGATCAAGGGCTTGGTGGCGCGGTGCTCCTGGTTGGGGAAGGTGATGTTGGAGAGGGAGCGCGGCGGGGCGTCGGGGTTGACGAGGATGTGGTCGTTTCTGGTCATGAAGTTGACCCATTCGAAGTCCGGGGGAACCTTTTGCGCGGAGGACAGAATGTCCGTGTACATGGCGCGGTGACGGTCGAGCTGGCCGCCCATGTAGACGACGAACTGCTCCATAGCGCCCTGAACGGTCTGCAGGACATGGGCCTCGAACTGCTGGAAGTTGTTCTGCACAGCGATGAGGTCCTGGCGGTTGTTGTTCTCCTCGATAACCTGCTTGTTCAGGCGGTGGGTGACACCTCGACGGAGAATGTAAGGGTCATGGGCCGTGTCGATCTTGTTATGGGACGCAGCGTCGAGTGTGGCCGTGTGCTGAGCGAGGAGCTCAATGTGCTTCTGAGTGACACCGCGAGCCTTGTCGACAGACTTGGCGCCCTTTGCAGCGCCGTTCTGCAATTCCTTCGACTTGGCCTTGATTTCCTTGTGAAGACGTTCCAAGGTCGGAAGCACGGAGCCCTTGAGGTTTCTCTCAGAGTCAAGGTACAGGTTCACCATGCCCTAGAGCCAGCTGTGAGCTGATGTCGTCATTGTATGTGTGGGTAACTAGGTATTTACCTGAGTGTTGGCGCGGATGTTCTCAAACCAAGAAGAAACGCCGCCAGCGCTCTGGGAGAAATGGTGGCTTTCCCGCAGAGGTTCGTTCACAGTCTGCACGCAAGGAACCCATTGTATTAGTATAAGAGACCGCCAACCCTTCAAGTTGAGCCCAGTGTAGCCAAGCGCACCTTCAAAACCTTCTCGAAGTCCTTGGACTGCGACTTGGACACCTTGGCCGTCGCAGACACATACTCTTCCAAATATCCACACATGTGCTTCCAAGCACGGAGACGCTCGAGGAGGAGGTTCGTGGTCTAAACAGTCGCAAAATCATTAGCCATCTATCACAGAATTCTAGAGAATGTATTCCCATCGCCTACCTCATTGCTATCAGAGCCAGGAATGGCCTCGTCATCACTCATGGAAGTTCGACGACTGACACCAGTCATGGCGCTAGTGACGGTCCCCGAACGCTGAGGGAGCTTATGCTCCACGGGACTGACAGGAGTCGACATGGTTGCTGCTGCGGGGAAGGAGACAAAAAAAAAAAGATGCGACGTGCAACCTCTCTCAGGGACACAGCTGTTCAAGGGAAGAAAAGACGGTCGAACGGCGCGCCCACGAGGAATAAAAACTGCAGTCGGAGCGGTACAGGTGGAGGACACCGGAAGCGCGATCTCCGACTAGTCAAGACGGTTGAATCGGCAGACGGATTAGGGGCTTGTTGGCCTTTGTTGTAGCGGAGGAAGTGGGGCGTGGGCAAGCAGATGCCGGCGAGACAGACGCTCGGAGGAGGAGGAGGAGGAGGAGGTAGGAAAGAGGCGGTATAAGTATATGTGTGATTCGAACAGAAGTGGAAATCGGGATCTGAAAGAGTGAGGAAGAGGAGGGGAATGAAACTATGTGATTGACGTCGATAAATGAGAATAAATCTCTAAGCGCCAAAAGCAATAAATGTGATCAAAAAGGTAGAAAGAATTGTTAACTGGAAAGTAAAGGATCGACCGATGAAGTCACCGCCCAAAGGAGTTTACCCCTCAATGGCGCAAATCAGGATGACCCACGATTTGGTTCGTTCCTTAGATGTTCCCTCCGATTCCGGCAAGGGATCACCGTGAAAAGTTATTCTTCCGGTCGATTGATCGCAGACGATAATGATGATGATGATGATGTGCTGGCCCGTGTAGCATCATCCATCGATTGTCTGCTCTATGATCAGGCCATGCCCACTTCGGAAATGCCACCTCCGCAAGCGGATCCCGACTCAGCCACACTTTTCCAGGGGGAAACTCAACACTCAATGGCCATTCTCCCCCCCTCTGGTTCTTTTGTGGCTACGTCAGAACCGGGAGCTCAACCAAACAATCTCATTCACTCACGCTTCACAATCAAGGTTTTCTTGGCTTTCACGTTTCACTGCATCCCTGGTACTACTTACTCTTTAACACTAAATTAATAAAGTAAGTCTGGTTGCAATGATGGAGTTTAGATCTATTTGCTGTCGTAACGCTAATGCATATGAGAGTATGAAAGTATTATTTAACAGGTACAGTGTATTGCCCCTCACTTTGAAGAGAGGTCTTTTTTGGGGTAACATGTGCATAATTCGTGCCGACACCGGGTCATGAAATATCTGCTCGTAAAGCGCCTGTCATCTCATCATGGATGATGATCAGGGGAGAAAATGAAGAAAGAAATCCTGGACTCCCTGTCCTCCCAGTCAACCCATCCCGTCTATTAGTTGTGAACGCCAGTAAAATAAATCCCCACCCAACGAGTCTAAGTATGTATGCGACTAGCATTCAGAGGCACAACGACAACCCTCCGTGTTTGGTTCTGAAACACACTGTAACAGGGAAACGGCAGCACACGCTGTTAATGCTTTATGGGATAGGCCGAGTTCGAAAACGCAGTATCCCCGGACAGCCAGCATCCGAGGACCGATGAATATGTGCCGAGGTGGTGTTCTATCCGGTAAGTCGGTCAGGCGGAGCCAGTCACACCTTCACCAGATCACCGAGTGCCCCGACCTAGCAGAAATAGACTCCAACTCTTTTTCGACACCTGTTCCCTCAGAGGAGACTTGATCGAATATTATTCTTAATGAAATCTGCAACCCAATTAGACCCTGGCTCGAGCTTGGACAAGACGCAGTCGACGTTCATCATCGTCGTGACTGGAGGTGGAGTGGAGGAGACCAGACCGGCTGTGGAGCGCATCGATAGCGGAGAAATATGAAGACCCGCGGCCGGCGGTGCGGACATGAGCCTGCTGAGGCGACTGGGGCGCGGAGATGACAACATCCTCGGCGATGACAGCTTGATAATCAGGCAATTCCGAGTCGCAGGGGCGGACAGTAGTGCGGACGGCGGTGGAGTAGCTTGGGACACGGCTCAGGGTCTCGACTTCGGCATATTGAGGGTGGTAGGGAGTTGCCATTCCGGAATGGATGTAGTCGTGTTCGACCTCGTCAGAGGGACGGCGGGAGAGCTCAGGGCTGGCGGGGCTGTGCGAGTTGGAACCGGATCCCGCTCCGAAGTAATCGGGAGGAACACCCAGGCGACGGCTGTCGTTTTCCGGATGCTCCTGGTCGGTAGGGGAGGGCTGATCATTCCCGTTGGCGCGCAGAATCGATAGACGGGTGTGCAAGGCAGAAGCGGAAATGTCGGTGTTGGTCAATGCATTCATTGAAGCAAGGTTCTCAGCCGACAGATTACGGCTAAGGGTGCCGAACGGAGTGCCAGGGCCACTTCCAGGGCCTGGAGTCCGGTATCCAGAAGGATCAAGTTCGCTGTACAGTTGATCGAATTGATGCTCGCCGTACAAGGGAGGAGCCTGCTGGGCGAGATTATCAACCGCTCTTTGAGCGGACTGAGGGGTCTGGTCGATAAGGTTGTTGTTTTCATCGATGGCTAAGCTGGGGGAAATGAAAATCGAGACGGGGAGGGTCGCGCGAAGCTGCAACATTGTCAGAATAAACTTTTCAGTACCAATTTCAAGCCATGGGTTTGCATACCTCGCTGACATGTCCATCAGGATTCAGGAGCTGAACACGGAACTTGAGCTTGTGACGGATTTTGATGCCCCTGGTGTCAGTGTCCTGCAGGCACCGAGTCAAAGTCTTGGGCAGATCCAGATGACGCGAAAACTGATATCCCTCTGCCATTTCATCGATGATTTCCAAACCGCTGTCCTCATCCAGCTCATGCTCATCGTTCAGGATGGTTCTCGTACTCTTGTATGTGTTGCGGACGGAATCAGGGTCTTCGGGGTTCAGGGTAAGGTCGTGGCTTTCGATGAGCTGCGAAACGATCTGTCCAATTCGAAGTCCCTTAAGGAGAGGGATCAGCTTGAAGTCCACACGGATGCTAGTTCCGAAGACCACGGCCTTCGTTGGTGTGCTGATCGAGTATTCAATCTTGTTTGGCCAGACATTTTCCACGGACTACCATCAGTGTTAGTAAAGAACCTCCCCCACTAGCTAGGAGTATATGTAGGAACCCACCATTGCGTGCGCAAGTTCAAGAGCACTAGGCTCAAGAGTGCGAATGATACGGAGCGGCCGGCGAACAATAATATCCTTGGCATATTTGCGTCCAATTTCCGCCTTGAAGCGATAGGTCACGTAGGTGTCGTTAAGGCCTTCAACGCTCTCCGGCATAGATCCCTCGAGAACAAGGTTGATGGGGTACTCGTAGTTGCCCGCTGGCAGAATCTCCGTCTTGCTTTTGCCCGCATCTCTGAATCTCCAGGTCTTCTCGTAGAATACACGTTCTCTCCACGACTTTCTACCGCCTCCGGCAGTACTCGACGGCAAATGCCAACTAACCAAGCTCGATTAGTTTTGATTCTTGTCGCATCGGGGGATTAGCGACAGCACTTACCAAACCCGAGATATACCCGTAAGATGGAGTCTGATGTGCTTAATGGACAAGGGCTCCGACAGACAAAGAATGAGCTTTCCGCTCAGATGGGCACTGGCCGCTTCTTCCTCGCCTCCGCGAAATACGATGTAATCTTCATCAAGACTGTTATGCGACAACAGGGTGGTTAGCCGTTGCACTCGGGTAAGGAAGCCGGGGTGCCGGAGTAAGTGCGAGAATGGCGTGACTCACCGGATATCAAAGTATTTCGCGTGACTGGAGCTGCCTCCGCCACCAAAGAAACTCAAAGCCATGACGTTCTTGTGTCAAACCAACAGCTGCTTGTGTGCAGCTGCTAGTAGAATGGGGGGAGCCAAGAAAATATAAGGGCGGTCGATATGGTTGAAATGTGAAGGGGGAGGAGTGGGTGGGCGGGAGGTTGATGTATTTAATCAAACTAAAAAAGGAGAAAACGTAAAAAAAATGGGAAAAAATGGAAAAAGAAAATTTTAAAAAGAAGGTGTCCAAGGAACCACGACAATGCGACGGGACTATGGCGCGAAAGGGAATAAAGCCTGCCACTGATCTGCTTAGGACTGTCCAGATTTGCAGACAAGACCGGGTCGACAACGGGTCCCACTATGAGCAAGGAAGTTGGTGAAGTGGAGACTTCAAAAGCAGCCGTTTCCGTCACTTGCGTCTTTTGGGTCTTTTCGGAGAGACCTTTTTGGCCCCGGGAGTGGCAAGGCGGTCCTTGGGTAGGGAAAAACTTTCGATTAAGTCCTCCCGAAGATGATGCGATTAGTTACCAGCGGCGTTTGACTAAGCCAGGCTGATGAATAACCCGATGCTCTAAAGATAGAACGATGACTCGACGACGTGACAGCGCCTTTGGAAAATAAAAGAGAAACGACGAGTTAGTATGGCAGAAGTCTTGAAAGGTTATGAAAGGGTAGTATCGGCATCGGCAGCGGAGACAGTGAGAATTTAAGAAGCGGGAAGTAGGCCGAAGGGGAATGTGGATGGATGGCAGCTAGGCTTCCGACCAGACTGAATGTTTGGAAAAGTGTGTATGTGGGGGTGCAGTGGGATGATGTTTTATAAAGGGCTCAAAGGGTAGTAACAACGGAGTAAAACAAAGAAGGTGAGCCGGAGTGATGGGGATTGAGAATGGAGAATCGGTGAACAAGAGAAAGCAAGAGCAATGGAGAGAGACAGAGAGAGAGGCGAAAGCAAATGTTCAGCCTGAATAGTACGTTACATCACCAACATACCGGAGAAAAGGCCGCGGGCGCAGGAACCAGGATGTCCACGGGAGTTCCCTTTCGTAAGGGAAACAAGGCTGGAGGGGTGAACTGTCACGGTGTGCTTTTTCCCGCTAGATTATTGATTTGATTTGGTTCAATAGTAGTAGTAGTAATCAGTAGTAATCCCACTCGTTATCGTGACCCGTAATAATCACACGATAAGTGTGTGATTTGATTACTTCTGTTTCGGTTTTCCCCTCGTGGAAGTTGGTCACACAAAAGTGGGCTGCTGGCTATGCCTGCAATGACAGACAAGAGTAAAAAGGAGTAGAGTACGGAGTAGAGATAGTCAATGACTTTTTCTTGAGAAGATAGATGTACCAAGACTTTTATCCAAGACCCAGCCAAAAGGGCCCATCATCGTCTGGGATCGTCCGGTTTTATCTACACGGAAGCATTGCTCGTAAGATCGGCCCTAGGCCTTGGCGGCAGTCCGGTTACCCGGTGGCTATCACAAGGCAAATGACATTAAATTCACGGGCAGTAATGATAGTCGCCAAATGACGATCATCGAAGTAACATTAATTTATTATCCTTTTCTTTTTTTATGATTATTATTCCACCACCCCCTCCTCCTCCCCCGCCGCCTCTGGCAAAAGCAG